TGATTCTTAACTCCATTTATTTCTATGACCTTGGCTCTTTTCTCTCAGTTTTTCTGGTTCTCCACTTCCCAGATTCTTTACATGGTGGTTGAATATTGTACAGAAATAATATTCCTAATATTTTTAGGCCCTGGGAACCTATTGCTTTGTTTCTTCTAGGAATAGATGGAGCTTTTTCTGCCCCACTGTGGCATGAGTAGGAATTAGACCCTTCAAGAAGTGTGTCTTGTAACATCAGTCGGGAGAACAAAAATATTTCAGGTGGCTGGTTTCAAGGGACACCAGCAACTGGGAAAAAGATGAGATATTGTGTATTTCTGGCACTAAAATCAAGTTGGGACTAAGTACATCACATTAATGAATGTTCTATTATTTTAGACTCTTAACATTTTGTTTCTTAAAATAAAACTGAAGGATAAGTAGTGAGTAGTGAAAGGATCTGATAAAGGTCCGTAGTGCTTCAGCGGCCACACTACATCCAATCAGGGTTTCCCACATTCCTCTGAGAGTCAATCTACTGCAATATATGAATAATTATTAGTATGTGAATTATTCACAATGTAGGGAATACTTCTATTTACATACTATTATTGGTCTCCCCAATTTCAGTCTTTGCCTACAAAAATATGTTCTCAACAAAATCAATTGTAAAACTCAGTCAAATAATGATATCCCTTCTCTTCTCAAAGGCCTGCAATGGTTTACCTGTATCTCACTCAGATAAAAATAAGTCAGTCCTTACAATGAACTTGACAAGTCTGTCTTCCCAGCCTGCCAAATTTTCCCTGCCTGCTTGAAGATGGGCCTAACATCCCCACTATTATTCAGGGACACTAGAACCAATTGAGCCAGGAGTTCTGGAATACATGCTCTGGTCTTGATGTTCCAGTTCCCCTTACTTATTGAATCTCATCTCCATTCTCCACTCATTGCATTGTCATTTCAGATCCTGGCTTATTCCATCCTAGCTATATATACATGCCTCCTTAATCTTCCAACATGGTGCTTCTCGTATAAACCCTACATGGATGTGAGTGATTATCCTTTGTATATACTATCACACTAACTTGGCTGAACCTTTGTGAAGAACTTTTGCCTGTCTTGGGGTATCATTACCTTTAATTGCTTCTTCTGGTTTTGTTATTAGCATAATGCTAGCTTCATAGAATGAGTTGAGAGGTATCCACACCTTTTCAATTTCCTAGAAGTTTGTTGAGAGTGAATTCTATGTATTGCTTGAATGTTTGGTAGCATTCACATGAAATAATTTGGGCCTAGAATTTTCTTTGTGGGATTATTTTAATTCAACTTCTTTGTAGATAAAATTTTTAAAACACATTTTATTTCCTTAGCTAGTACAATTTCACCCAATATCTGTCTTTCTTCTTGAATGTAACAAGGAAGCTCATGTTATGCAAGAAATTTGTACATTTTCATCAAGGTTGATAAGTTTATTGTATGAAGTTATTCTAAATATTTCTTTAGTTTCCTTTCATACCAAGAGAATATTTAGTGTCATTTCCCTTATTCCTGATATTGGTAGTAGTTTTCTTTCTCTTGTTCTGATATTTCTTGTGACAAGTTTATCAGTTTTTATTGATTTTTATCAGGAACAAATTTTTTTAAATTTATTTTTTAATGATTTTCAGTTCTCCTTCATTGATTCCCCCTCTGATCATTAGCATTTTCTCCTCCTTACTTTGAGTTTTATTTTTTTATTCTTTTCCTAGATTCTTAGGGTAGAAGCTGAGGCTGTTAATTTCAAAACTTTCTTTGTTTGTGTTTAATGTAGGTGTTTTAGTTGTATAAATTTAGCTGCATTTACATATTTTTCCTTCTTTGTTTCATTCAAAATACTTCCCAATTTCCCCTTTGATTTCTTCTTTGACTCATCGCTTGTTTAGAAGTATGTTATTTTTCAGATAATTGCAAAATTATTTAGAGATGCTTTCTATTATTTACTTTTATTAAGTTGATTAATTCAGTTGTGATTCAAGAACATACTTAGTATGGATTGAATCCTCTGACTTTGGTAAGACAATTTTATGGCTTTGACACTGTAGACATTTTGTTTTTGCTTCAGGGGCTTTGCATTTATTGCCTCATCTGACTGAAATGTTTTTTCTTCAAATATTCCACATTCTCTTAACCCCTTTCAGTCTGTTACCCCCAAATACATAATACATACATATACTGCATCAGATACTCAGTCTTCCCTGATTTAATTATCTCTATTATAGTCATTTTGTGTGTGTAATTTTTCCTTCAGTGGAGCATAAATTCCATGAAGGCATGAATCATTATTTATTTTACTCATTAATATATCCCAGCACCTGGTACTGTGTCAAGCATATAATAGCTGGTCAGTGAATATTTGCAAAATTAATTTGGCTTAAAAAAAGTCCTGTGAGATAAGGCTGATTTTATTGATACCATTTTATCAACATAGTACTCAGTTAGAAAAATGTAAAATCAGGACTCTTTATGTTCCCTGATTTATATAATTCATTCCACTTAAAGAAAGCTGTTTGTTGTCAGTTTATCCCATTTTCTGTGATAGAATTCAAGGATTTCAGAATGAATAATCACACCTTTCTCTGTCAAAAGGTAAGTATGGGCTGAAGCTCAAGTTGTCCAATGAGAATAGTTAGAGATGAAATAAAAAGTGGTAGGATCTTACATGTCATACTAATGCTTATATTTTACTCAGAGTGCAATGAGAAACCACTGCAAAACTTAAAAAAGGAAAAAGCATTTCAAATTTGCAAATTAGAATGATGTAGATGACATGAGTTATTTTCATTCAGATAATATTTGTTGAGTCTGTACTTTTTATCAAGGATCACACTCAGTGCTGGGGGTACAGCAGAGAACAAAAAATTCTTCATGAAGCTCACAGCCTAGTGGACAAAACTAACAAAAAATAAATAATCAAATAAAATATGATATAATTACAGACATAAGGAAGGTAAAGGAATTGAGTCATGGAGGTTGGGTGTATTATTAATAGGTAGGTAGAGAAGGCCTTATGAAGAAAGTTACATGAGCAGAGACATCAGTGAAATTAAAAAAAAAAAAAGAGGAAGACGATTTAGGAGAATTCTAGGCAAAAGGTCAAGGACCAACACACGCAATGTCTGTGACACAGAAATTAGTTTTGTGTCCTTTAAGAAAAACAAGGAGTCCAAAGTGACTGGGATTGAGTGAATGATAGGGGAAAGTAATATGCAATAAGGATTGAAAAGTGGGCAAGGGTAGATGATAGTGGGTCATAAACTGTAGTTGAGTTTTATTCTTAGTGTAAAGGTGAGAGGCTCTTGCAGCATTCATCAGTAAAGCAATGAGATCTGACTTCCTTTTTAGGGTGATTTGAATGGATGCATGGAAAATAGACTGTGGCAAAGCAAGAAAGGAGACAGTAAATCCAGTAAGGAGATATAGCTATAGAGTATGCAGAAGAGAATTGTAGAATCTGGAGTCCACAGTGGAGATGGTAAGATATGGAATTGGCAGAGCTGATGTAAGTTGCTAATGGGCCAGATGTGAGGTGTAAGGGAAAGGGAATCTTAGATGATTCCTAAGGTTTAGTCTAAATAATTGATCAATGGTTATACCATTTTCTAAAATAAGGAAGATAGTAGAAGGAATTTTAAGGAACTGCATCCCATCCCCCATTCCTGTGTTGAATCTCTAGTCCACAATATGACCATATATAGAGACATGGCCTTTGAGGAGACAATTAAGATTAAATTAATCATAGGGCAGGGTTCTAGTCCAACATGACCAATATAAGAAGACACACATGAAGAATGTATATCCATGGAGAACAAACCATGTGAGGATGAAGCAAGAGGATGGCCATCTCAGAAGAGAGATCTCAGGAGAAGTTAAACCTGCTGTTACCTTTTGGGCTTTCAGTTTCCAAAACTATGAAGGAGTAAATTCCTGTAATTTAAGTCTTCCAATTGTGTGTGGCAACCCTGGCAAAACAATATAGGAGTGAGAGGGTAAAGAAAAAAATAAGAGCTCTTTCTTTAACATGATAAGTTTGAAAGACCTATTAGTCTTTTAAGCAAAGATTCTCAGTAAGCAGGTGGATACGTAATTCTCAAGCTCAGAGATATGTTTAGCCTGGAAATTCAATGGAAAGTCATTGGCATAAGAATGATATTTGCTATAGGGGAACACGCCCAATCTCCAGTCTTCCTATAAGGAAGCTCCATCAATGTTATAGTCCTGAATTCTCACTCTTTCCTTTGTTACCTTTCTCCAAGGGAGGAAAACTGATATGATTGCTTGGTCACTTTGGGAGAAAGAACTCAGTATTCATGTTTTTTCAATTTTCAATTTTCTTGTATATTTTTAAGATATACATCTTCAGAGAAAAAAATATATAAAATGAAACATATATGTTCTATTTCTTCCTGCTGTGAGGTTTTCATCATCAAATTTGCATTGGAAGAGATCTGTGGTTGTCAAAATGTCCATGTGTTTTTGAATGGGTTAGTCAGTGACATCAACATATTCTCCAATATAAATATTTTAAAAATAAGTAATAAGAATAACATTTGATCTACTCTCCTTGAGTCCTATCTCTATATTGTAGTTGATTCTGAATGTAAAGATTGATTATATGTGGTTTTCTGTTCAGTGTCTAGTGATAAAAAAATTATAGGGTCCAACATGGAAACTTGGGGCATTATAACATTAAGAGAGATAGATTATTCATCAAAAGAGATTGAGAAATGGATGTTAGAGGAAAATCAGGGGAGTGTGATGGCTGGCTACCAAGTGAAGAAGATACTAAGAAGGAAGGAACAGTCATTTGTTTCAAAACTTGCTGGCAGTTAGACTTTCATGAAAGGTATATGAAATTGGTGGAATGACCACCTCTCTTTCTGGGGTAGTGAATTACCAGCCAAAGAAAGATAAAAGCCATAATTCCAGTTGGCTTTAGTGGAGCAAGAACTTCATCACAGACTCTCTTATACACTGAACCATTTAGTATACATTCAATAATATTTTATTCAACATTTCTTTTAATAAGAGTGATCAGTCATCCTGATTTGTGAAGGAATGAGGGGCTTCCTGGTATGTAGGACTTTTAGTTCTGAAAAAGAAAAAGTTTGGGACAAATTAGAATGAATAGACCCCCTTACCTCAAGCAACATTTATACAACCACTTACATGCATGGGCACTCACAATCACACACTACCACCATCACACTGCTGTCACTAGTTGTCTTGTGTCTCTCAAGGTAAGCTAATATATATATA